CTTATTTTCACAAGCGCAGAGCTTATTGAGTTTGTAGGCCTCGTGAACGAAATGAGTTTATCTGTTGAAGGGCAAGACTAAGTGGCTCATGGACTGTGTCAATCTGAACATCTTACTAAATCCAAACGGCTGTGTAACAATACGAATCGACTGTCGTTTTTCGGTAAGATAAACCAGCAAGATTCTTTATTATGCACTTCCATATAAAATGACAGTCTGCACAACAATCTTTCAGTTGGTCTGAAGAGGCGAATGGAAGGGACTTATAGATTGGCCTCACCAGAAGCCGAAGAAGGATTGCCTTTTAGAGATAATTGTAAATTTGTTCGGCCTAAATGGGTCAGTGTTAAGCTTTCGTGTGTCCTGCAATAGATATCATCAGAACACAAAAACAATAAATACCTCGTCACTTCAAACCAAAAGAAAAATGAGCGAACACCAGTTATCTCAGAAGCTTCATCAAACCCAGTTGAATTTGATAGACTGCGACCACACCAGAGGCCACAACATCTTGGTCTTCATATATTCAACCAGTTGAATTTGGTTTGTGGAAAGTAGGACGGACGTAGATTTCTTCCTTGCTTCAAGTGGGGCCAAACCTAGGCTGTACATAAGAAGAGTATGTTTAATGTAAGTTAGGCGATAAGATGGAGAGGACTGGGAAAAGAGAGAATTCAGAAATTTAACTCATACAATCGAGTTAAAACCCCAACAATATCAACTCACACATATTCAAATACAAACATGAGTATTGGATGATTATAACTGATGTGCTCATTTGACACATGACAGGATAAAGTGGGAGAGGAATGGAGAAGAAGCCGCATTAATATCCAATTCAGCGTTGTTAACAAGTCTATTTTAACGAGTCTAGTTGGGTTCAGAGCTGGTGGTGAGCATGAGCGATGCCATTCACTTGCGAATGGCACTTTTACGACACTTTCTGTGTACATTGGCTCTAGGTCCGAGTAATGAAATGTATTTACCCTATTTCGTTTAAGGTGATGAAGGTTTGGTAGTAGAATTTTCCCACAATGATATAAGTTGAGCTGACGTTTCCATTGAATTTCACAGAATCTTGCTTTCCCAAAAGTTGCTCTCATCCAGGGTGGACTGCAGTTTCGACCTCGCTTTGGCCTTATGAACACCCCCAGCTGAAGTCGAACCGTGACACTGCAGAATGTGAGCTTGACACGTTAATCACTCGGCCACATTGCCACGAGTGCCCTTTGGTGACAGGGTAGATGTAAATTTCAAGGC